CCCCGGGGCCGGGGCCCCCCTCCTCCCCCCCGCCGTTACGACCGCTGTTGGCAGCGGGATGTGGGAAGCGAGGAGCCGGTGGGCCTCCCACCGCCCCCCCTTCCCGCCCCGGGCGCCTGCCGCCTCGTAGGAGGCGAAGTCTTGGTATGAACGGAGCGCTGGCACAGCTGCATGGGAAGGGAGAGCGTTAAAACACCCACCCCCCCAGTAGCATTAAGCTTACATTTAGGCTTAGAATAAAAGCTTTCCTCACAGTGAGATTTAATAGTTTTGCTCACGCTCTCAGAAAATAACTTTGCAAGCTGGGGAGATTATAAATGTATTTTTCTAGGCTGAGGAAGTGGTGCCTGCAGAGGCCGCCTCCCTTTTTATGGTTTAATCTACAAGGGAGCGAGCAGTTGAGGCCGGGACGTGCACAGGCGGGTGATGGGGTCTGAGAGAGGAGGGACGGCCGGCCGGACGGAGAAGTGCTGCGCGGCGGGAGTGGATCGGTGGTGGAAGGGAATATGTTATTGTGGCAGATTGTATTCGTGAAAGAAAGTGCCAATAACAGAGTTGCACGCACTAGGTTAAAATTGTGTCTGCCGCAGATTTGTGACATGGTCTTTGAGATGCTGTAAAGCTTCGCAGGCTGGATTTTTGCAGTGGGGACGGACACACAAGAAGCATTTCCCAATTGTAAGTTTATAGGCTTTTTAGACCAAAACTAATCCTATGTAGTTTTCCTTTGTTAGGTGAGTCAATGTTTACACGAATTGGTTATTGTATACTGAGACAGGATCTAAACTAAAGTTAACAAAAACACTGAATATGAATTTCTAAGTGAAGAACATTTCCCATTAGCAGCAGATTCTCAAACACCTCATTTCGCCTGAAAGCTGATATGATGCGCTGACACGCTCTGCCTTATCGCATAACTAGTAACAAATGTGAGATGCAGGGCGGTTGCATTATTAATGTGCCTTTTGGAGCACTGCAGTAGTAATAAAAACCTACTTAATGTTAGTTTGGGGAAATTTTGTTATCTGTTTGAGAGTAAACACGGCTTCTAGTTCTGAAAAATGCCAATAAATTAACTCCTGTTTATATGTTTGATGTGTATACAAAAGGTGGTTATTTTTATGACTGCCGTTTGAATCAGATGAACCGTTGTTTTGAGAAGGTCCTTGTATCTGGTCTCTTGGTGCACATCCAAGCACAGATCTCTCAGCCATCCCCAATGCTGGTGTGAGTCTTGTGGCAGGTAGTGATGCGTACAGGGTGGGTGAACATCTAACTGTACGACATCGCGCTTGCTGCCATGGTGTCTCCCGTGTGCGGCTCAGTCCGGCAGTTGCGGCTTTCTGCAATGCGCCCAGCAGATGCAGACCCGGTGAGGAGAGGCGTACACAGGGGAGTAAAGGTCTGATATGTACGCTTACGCCTTCCCTCTCCAAGCTGAGGGTGATCTTTATTCTGTTCTGTCTTCTCCTGGTAAACTAAATTGCTGTGTCCCTTCATCTTCATAGTATTTGCTGTTCTTAGGTAGTGCAGGCAAGGAGAAAGCTCTCAGGAAGCTGCTTGACATGTCAAGCTCTTGGAGGCCATTTTTGCCTCCGCTAGCCTCATGACTGGGCTGTCAAGGCTACAGCCTGTAGCTGGATGCTTACCAGGAGAAGACACATGGTCCAAAGCCCTCTCGCTACAGCAGTCCTCTAGGTTTCAGCAGGTGACAATGCACATACCTTTACTGGTTCTCCATCATTTATCAAGGAAAAACGATGGATTGGCCTGATTCTCCAGCTTTTTTTCCTGTAGATGGTTTTGTTGCAGCGTGACCTTGAGAATGAGACATTACTGATTTGACTTCACCGCTTTGTGACCATACTGTTACCAGTTGTGGCAAGTTTAGATAAGGCACTTTACAGATTCAGCTGATGCCTCCTCTAGCTCAGACATCCCAATACCACGTTCTATCTTAGGGTACGGACAAGCCCTAGACGGTTTTGTTATATCACTTAAAATGTGTGTCCACTAAACTGGTATAACAGCCCCTGTTATGCAGGGAGTCGGACCAGACTAAGAGAATGATGGCTCAGGCCATTAAGAATTTTAATCTGCCAAATGACTGCACACTTGTTCTCAAAACTTGAGGATTCATGGCAGGATAAAACATTTTCATTATTTATTTGCTTCCTAGCATGGCATAGTCAAACAATGAATGACTTAAAATTTGCAGGGTTTTGTCTCCTTTTCGAAACTGGACTGAAAGAAAATGCTATGCAAGGAGGACTGGTAGGATTAATGATCCTCTCAGTAATGTTCAGAGATTACTAAAATGAATGGAGCTGTAGAAGGCTGATTTCTCTTGCGAGCTTTTTACTGACAAAGTCTTAATTTAAAGTCTACAGAGAAGGAGGACCTTAAAAATTTACAAAGACCCTGTTTTCTTTAAAATCAAGGGAAATTTACAAGATTCATTTAAAAGCAGTTAATGAAACTCCTTTAAAATGCAAAGATAGGTAATTCCAAAGTAGAATGATTGGAGCTCATATAGCAGTAAGTCATGGTTAGGCTTTGTGCAAAAGCAGGCACATTTTCAGTTTTCCAGAGAACTCAAAGTGAATTTGGTCTTTGTGGAAACATGATCGAGATTTCTGGTACTGGCGTCTTTGGTGACGTAGGATTAGCACTCAACACTCATCAAGTAATCACTTGAAAAAAAGGCTGTTAATTTAACAACTTTTTTTTTTTTTTTGTGCCGGTTAATGCCAAAATCACCTTAAGCAGTTAATGCTGCAGAATTAATTGTGTATTTGTTGTTAGGCCTCCTTTCCAGTAATCATAACACAGAGATTGGAAGGCATCTAATGAAATGTAAATTTAAAAAGGCAGAATAAATTTTCCCAAAGGCAGTTTTTGCCAAGACAGTAGTCTTTGCAAAAGACCCTGTTCTTACCAAAAACACTATTGCTGATTCTGTAATGACCTCGAAGAGCTGTGGTCCAAATAGCAGCTGTTCCAGAGGACCTGGTAGAATTCCAGTGCATTCTCTCAGTGGTAACAATTTAGAAAAGGTGATATTGTTATGTCTGTGTATTCTGTGAGTTAATGAATAACACCTATACTTTAACTGCTTAGACTATTGGGTCTTATTTGGGCTCCCTGATGACTTTCAGATAATTGTGGTAGTTCTGAGTATTATTCTACAATGATTGTGCTCTCAAGCTGTTGCAACTGTTATTGCCCACTCCCTCATTTGAGTATGCTGAATTTATGGATCTTAAGATACTCAGCATGTAAAATCACAGATACATTTTTTTTTATTCAAGCCAAAGACTTACGATGAAATCTTGAGAATGAAATTTTAATCTATCAATTGCAATCCGAGTTGCTTATGGCAGAAATTCTTGAGAAACTGTAAAAATACAACAAATAGAACTCATTTATTACTTCCAGAGGAATAACACTCCTTAGAGGCTGTCAAATATGCATAAGGTCAGAACATATTAAACAAAGAACTGTGCTTAGAAAACAACTGTCAAGGGAAAAGTGAAGGTTCAATATCATGACTCGTGAATATTTAACTGCATAAAGTACAAATTATGGAAATGGCAAAACCACGTCTAGAATAAATGTGGAAGTGATTTGTGTGAAAACAGAAACAGTTCACTGTGCTTTTTTTCAGATTATTCTTCAGCAACTAAACCAAATAGCTTTTGTATGAGTAGTTCTCACATGAAGTTAACTCCTGTTACAAAATGAAATTATTTTTGCAGTAGTTATTCCCCTCTGGTAATTTAACCTACTTTTGCATTTTCAGTCTTTGATTAGCTTGCTGTTACCTGCCATGAGAACTGATCAAGGAGTACTTCCCTGGGCGCTTCACATCTTTTGGACCACGTGAGGGAAGAGAAAGAGAAGCAGGGATTCATTAAGAGTAGACAGATTTCATTTTAGGAGGTCGGACCAGGGGAAGGTGAGCAAAGTAAGAGATGGAGATATGACAGGCTGGAAAGTTGGGCAGAGAGGAACCTGATGAGGTTCAACAAGGGCAAGTGCAGGGTCCTGCACCTGGGGAGGAACAACCCCATGCACCAGTACAGGCTTGGGGCGGACCTGCTGGAGTGCAGCTCTGTGGAGAAGGACCTGGGTGTCCTGGTGGATGACAGGTTGACCATGAGCCAGCAGCGTGCCCTGGCTGCCAAGAAAGCTAATGGGATCCTGGGATGCATTAGGAGGAGTGTGGCCAGTAGGTCGAGGGAGGTTCTCCTCCCCCTCTACACTGCCCTAGTGAGGCCCCATCTGGAGTACTCTGTCCAGTTCTGGGCTCCCCAGTTCAAGAAAGATGAGGAGCTACTGGAGAGAGTCCAGCAGAGGGCTACAAGTATGGTGAGGGGTCTGGAGCATCTCTCCTATGAGCAAAGGCTGAGGAAGCTGAGCTTGTTCAGCCTGAAGAAGAGAAGGCTGCGAGGGGAACTAATAAATGCTTATAAATATCTGAAGTGTGGGTGTCAGGAGGATGGGGCCAAACTCTTTTCAGTGGTGCCCAGTGACAGGACAAGGGGCAACGGACACAAACTTCAGAATGTTACTTCCTTAGCATTGCTACTAAAGCCTCTGTGACTGAGAGAAGAAAAGCTTTTGTAGTCTATACTTTCCCAAAGGGAAAAGCTTGCTGATGGTCACTGACCACAAAGCCAAAAGCCCTTTCAAAAACTCCTACTGAGGTGCTGGAAGGAGAAGGGTGCTACACTGTTCTTTTAGATTTACTGAGCTTTCAGCAGTCGAAAGCAATCAGAAACAATGCCAAAGTGTGACAATGCATGGGAATATCAGTGGCCTAATAACTGCTTTGTAACTCAGGGTAACGTATGGTATTTCTTACTGGCATCTCTAGGGCCAGGAAAAGAGTTGCTATGCTCAAGGAGCAACCTGTAAGAGAACAATAAAGAGATCATAAGATCATACTTCGTTATCTTGAGTGGAAACCAGTGGTTCTGTAAGAAAAAGGACAAGCCATATGTACAAAACCAGACATTTTATTAGTAGAAAAGTCAACTAAATACAGATACTCTCATTGTCAACAGATGAGCCTTAAAAGAAACTACTGAGATATGTTTTGCTTCACATGGCTGTCTGTCCTCTGGTAGATTCAGTCTTTGGAGATGTTGATCAAAGAATCCATGATCAGTACATGTATAAAAACATACATGATCGCCGTGATCAACAGGTATACAATTCGTTTAGTAGCAGTCCATTAAACGCAGTAATTAAGCTCACCCAGAGAAGTGCATAATTGTACAAGAGAAAAAAAATGAAGTAACTTTATAAAGCTATTTGAATTTTGGTATTTTATATGTATGGACATTTTAAACTGAGCATGAGAAAGGACTGAAAGATGGGAGAGGTGAGGAAGGGCGGAGCTCACAAGGAGACTTGACTTTAAAACTGCACCTTCCAGTTCTAACTCTGCCTTGGTAGAATTCTCATGAGGCCCACTAAATCCAGAATCCCATTATTTCTGATGGGCATCTACATGGGAAAGAAAAAATGGGCTGTGGACTTGTTTCAGTTGAGTGCCAAAGAACCAGGGCGAGTTTTCCTACTGAAAAGAGAAAGTCTTTATTAGTGTGGAGTTGTCTGAGCTGCTCCTTGCCTCAATGCTACTGCGGCTCAGGCAGTATGAGGAGAAAAGAAAGGCTATTACTCTGCTAACAGATAATATTGCTGTCTCAGGCTCCTTTGGGCGGTTCTAGAAATAAGTCTCTGATACCACTCTCCTTCACTGCCAGTTTCAGGTCCATCACTGATTTGTTGCCCCTTAGCACCAAATACCAGCTGATTTTTCTGTGAAGAATCATGGAGTCCACCTTGAGTGGAAAGGAATGAGCTCTGTGGATTCCCAGTGCCTTGCAGGTAAAATGTTAATGTAGAGGTATGAATCTTTCATCGTAGCTATGTGCAGTGTGGACCATGCACCAAAATGAAATATTTTCTTCTCACATACATTGACATTTATGACCTATAGTGCCCGAAGACCTGCATTTTTAGAAACTTGAAGTCTACTTTCTCCTTCAATTATAAAGATTCCAGAGAGTGTCTCATTAAGGTTCCTGAAAAAAGCAAACATGCCACAGATACAAGGAATAATTTTGTTGTGCTAATTAAATGTAAGTGATTGGATTTTTCAATCATATAATTAGTAGGAACATTGGCTGAAATTTTCTGTGGCAAAAGGAGATCGGCGGTGCAGAAAGAGAGAAGTTCTTAACTGAGATTCAGTTTCTTCTCCAGGTAGTGATCCCAGTGAAATGTTTTGTACCTTGCTGGGTCTAGCTGTGGTGCAGGTGGTTGTGCTTGATGTTTTTAGTACAGATGACTGCCTCTGTTAAAGTCACTGATGTGCTGCTTTCAGAGGTACTGGAGTGGCTCGTGTTATCCTCGCCTACGAGTTGTGAGGCCCCAGTGAGATATGAGACTTGTGTCCAGGATCATTGGAAGGAATCTTGCTTTGTCTT